CAAACACTCAAACACTCAAACACTCAAACACTCAAACACTCAAACACTCAAACACTCAAACATTTGCAGGCTGGCACATAATACTTGGTGTCCATCTCCGTGCCCTGCAGGTACCAGAACGCACCACTTGTGCCTGATCATGTACCCAAGGCTTTCAGGTGCGAACAACAGGACACCAAGAGCAATGGATTGTTAATACAATACCATCAATGTAAGGTCTATGAATGGCAAAATTTGGAGAAATGGTTGCTGATGACCAGATTATAAGGCACATATCCCAATATAATGAGGTCCTACCCGATGATCATTCTAACACATTCCTAAGGTAAGAGACTGCAGTCAAGAGTTGAGGCTTGAATGAAGTGTGACTCACCCAATCCCAGCAGCGGCCGCAAGATATGAGATTTGATGCTACTCAGCCTGCAGTAGAATTTTCTCTCGGCAGACGCCAGCTCATGCAGGCTGGCAATGAAGCCCATGATGTTCCTGTCTGCCAGTGCCAGGCAGCTCTGCCCTCCTGCAAACACTGAGCTCACGTAGCCCATCTGCACCCAAAAACAATACACACACAGCAATCAGCTTGTATTGATTCTGGCTTAGCTGCTGTAGATGGGTATTTTATATAGCTGTGATTAGTTTATAAGATGTGATTTTTGGCACAGTTTTGAACACAGTGACATCTCCTATTAGACAAAGCCCAGACATGACTAAACATTCACATGACTGGCAAAATGACAGTGAAATCTCTGTTTTGGCACTGCCCTTTCCTAAATATAAAAATTAAGTTGCTTAACTGTTATACTGATTACATCCACGACTGCAAGTCTAATGTGCCTGACATCCAAAAGAGAAAAACTGCACGACGAAAAACAAGCTTTCCCCCAGCTGATCCTTTCTAGGGTCTCTGTAAATCCACCTTCCCTATTTCTCCAACAGGATTTTATGCCACAATCCCACAGACTGTGATCGCTAATCGTGTTGTTATAATGCCTAAGTCTTCTAAGTCTTCAGCTTTTCTTTTGGCTTAAACTAAATTTTGGAATATCAAAATTGTCAGTGAATTTATAAATTGAGCTATTTGAGAAGATCTGACTATCGCAAACGCAGTAAATTGCTGTTGCATCACAGTGCTGATTCTTGTTAATAAATTGTGGAATGTAATATTATTAATAAAGCAATATTATTACATTCTCTAATAAAGAAAAATAACATTAAGTGAGAAATTACCTGGCAAAAAATGCCTTGTCTAGATGCATTGTTAGCTTGAAGTACCAAACCTCATTTAAATTTATGAGGTTCCCTTCTGCTTCTGTGAATGACAGCCAGATGCTTCATCTTATACAAAACCCTCTGGCCTATGGTCTTATCTCTCCAGATTATCTCTCCAGACTGAGCAGTTTGAGTACTAATTATAATATACAGCACTTCAGGTAGACACGTGAGATCCTGCTTCAGGAACTGAATTTAGGGGGAACATTTATTAAGGTCAGATTTTACAGGACAAGAAATGTTATTTACCCAGGGAAAAGTTCCCATATAAACTGTTTTTAGTTCCAAAAGTCAAGAACAAGGTTTAATGTCTCCTCTGAAGGATAGCCCGTCCTACAGCATAGTGTCACAGGTAATACTGGGACATTCCTTTCTGGAAATGCTGGTCCAGAGGGAAAAGACCCTGGACCCACTGGTCCAGCAATGCCTCCTGCAGCAGAAACCTGGTTTTAATGTATGTTGGTTTTACTCGGAGGTCTCCTCTTCCAGTACTGACTTTAGCTTCTGAGATTAGGCTACAAGGTGACAACATTCTGCACCAGAATTCAAAGAATATGGCACCTGGTCTTTGTCTGCGATGCATAAGTTGTGGGACATCCAGCTGGCATAAGGTAACTCCTCCAATATAGTCTTGGAGAAGCTGTAACCATTAGGTGGAGACTGGGTTGATATCATTGCGCGTGTGTCAGAAATAGTTCTCATAAGTAGCATTTGTAGTGTAAATAGGATCTCCCCGAGCAATGACAAAATAGCGTACTGTGTATCGTCTTTACAATGGTGACAGGATAAGTCCAGAGACTAGCTTGTTCTTTATATACTGTATAAAAAAAATACTAAGTCATTCAGCCCTGTACTGTTGTCAAGGGAGGCTGTAGCTGTGAAAAACACACATAACTGGCTATTCCAAATCTGGGAAGTGCAGCAAAACAATAAGTGCCGATTTAAATTTTTTAAACAAGTAAGAAAGATCTCCTGTTAGATATTATTTTATCACCGACTATGCAAACTGACTAACTGCAAAAGCACTATAGGTACTGGGATTCGCTATATCATGTGACATCTGATGACAAAGTGACACGAAGATGCATTCGGTTTCAGGGTTTTTGAGAGGTGCAGGTTCTGTGTTTAAGGGTAGGGCATCTCTCAAGTTGTCATGGTAGGGGGCACTCACGTTCATGCAGAAAGGCAGGAGTACAGGCTGCTGGGTATAACCGCCGTCGGTCTGCGGACTGCCATCATCCTCCCTGACCTGCTTCCCGCTGTAGTACAGGATGGGCTGGAAGCAGTCTCCGTCAGCCAGCAGCAGGGTGTGCTGCTGACCGGCCGCAACATCCCACACCCGGATTCCCTCCGACATCTGGACGAGAAAGAACGGTTTTCAGCGTCGCCACCGCCCGACTCGGCAGAGTCCTTCTTCACACAACCCCCTCTGGGGGGGGACTTTAAGAGACCGAAACTCTAAGGCTTATGATTATGTTCTTTTTACAGCACCAATTCTAGTAAGTATGTGGAAGGAAGAACTAGAAAAGGCTCCAGCACTCTTCTCTTTCAGTGTAGACCATCTGTTGCCAGCTCTAGAACTCAAAGTCCTGAATCCAGCAGGCTAAGTCTCCTTAGGAAAAAGAAGTTAACAGCAGAAGGCAGTGGAGAAGGGATTAATTGCTCCACTTAAATCTTAACTGGACTAATTTAATAGTTCTCCCCAGATAAAGAGAGGAGAACTCAAGACTCTGGTCTTGATCCTAGTAGGGTAAATAAGGCGTTTCCTAAGAGTACAGGGTTACATGCCCCACGTAAAGCACTTTCCTTCATTAACACTTTCCCATCTCATACTTCAAAATTTAAGATACACATATTCCACTGCACAATCAGGGATAAGTACAGCTCACTATCACCAGAAGATGATGAAAAACCATGTACATGTACTACTCAATTAAGAAAATATGAATTGCTACTGTACACCACCAATTGTAAAATACAACATAGGCACAAACCCTGTCAGCCTACTCCTGTCATTACTTTTACTGTCAACTATTACTATGGTAGAATTCAGGTTTTTTTTAGAACACCAGTTTGTTCTGCAATCTGGTAGGTGAGATCAGTAATATAATAGTGGAAATGAACAAAAAAATTCAACATTACAGAGTGTGAATTCTCTTTGCTGTAAAACATTAATTTTCCTACAAATGAAAAGCATTTTACTGTACATTGTTATACGGAAATACAGCACATTTCTGTGAAGAGGGGAAATGGATTGAAATGCATCGGCAGATGAATTTTAAAAGCAAATGTCTTGCTTCAAATCTTCAAATATTTTGGCAGGGTATGGGTTTAATGGGAAGTGTCGTCTCCTCAACACAGGCATATCCCCATGTTTGTCAGAAAACAGAATTTGGCATTTATTTGAACAAAACTGCTTATATATATTCTGTGCAAAAGGATGAAAGGTGCAGAGGGATGAAGGAGAAGATAAACTGCTTTTTGTTTTTTTGCACAGATCTGGAACCGAGCCATTTTGCTTGGCAGGGAGGGAGCGCAAAGTCTCGAGTTTTTTTGCACAGGCACTAAAAATAAACCAGCATATGGCTTCTGCAAGATGGCAGATAACTGCTGCAGTCTTCTTTTACCTTAGTAAGCCGGGGAATGGTAGTGGGTGACTCCATGTGACCAAGCTGTCCAGAGCTGTTACTGCCCCAGGAGAAAAGCTGCCAAAACACAATCGGAACCATTGAGCACCAGGCTCTGAGCTGCACAAGGCTGGCTGTGGGCATCCACTGGTGTGATCTTTATGGGAGGCGTGTGAATTAAGACAATTAATGCACATTATTTCTGCAAAATTATTTGTGTAAACCTCTTAGGATTTACTTATGATACACATACTTTGCATAAAAAATTCTTACAGCCATTACAATATAGCCATCCATTACCAGAACGCAACTAATTCCCAATACGTTCACGGCAACCCTGAGCCTATCTTGGTAGTGTAGTACACAACAGCGGGATAATGCCCTAGTCAAGGTGCCAGTCCACTATAGTGCACACACACAAGCTTAAAGGGAAAATTTAGAGACGCCTATTAACCTAACCAGCATGCCTTTAGAAGGGGAGAAGCAACCAATGAAAACCCAAATGAGAACTTCCAAACTCCACCCAGAGGGCACTACAAACAATCCTACAGATTTCTGGCTCTTGAAGAAAACAGGCATAGGTAATCAACAATATTTAAACAATTTACTGACTGAAAATAAGAGTTTTGATTTAGACGATTATGTATTAACAGAAACAAAATAATCTGGTACAAGTAAGTTTTAAAGGAGGTTTTTAAAGAAACGTTTTGAGTGAAAAGAGATAAAAGGCATTTAAAAGGGTGCTTTATGTGAGCATTTGCAGAGAAACACTCAAAAGAACACGAAACCGTATTGTTCAGCTGCTAGTGGCTGATCGAGCCTTACCTGCGACTGGGCAGTCAGGGCCAGCGAGTGGTGGGCTCCAGCAGCCACACGGATGATTTCTTTACTGTTCAGACTCTTAATGCACAGAGGCTGCAGCCTGAGAACAAGCACACAACACAACTCAGACCCCGAGTAACACTGGAGGAAAATTACAGGGGATTTTCCATGATGACTGTAAGAGAGATGAAAGAGTCTGGATCGCACTCTACCCTAGACCTTGATGGGCTCACTGAATCAGATGTCAACTAACTTGGGTGCCTCTACTTCCACTCCTTAGCTACTTTGAGTCTAAAGTAACCTACAGAATTTCTATTGATCATTATTGAATATATGTTGAATCCGATCAATAATGATGGATTATCGTAATGATCTGAAGTGAAATATCTTGGTCAAGGGAACAACAGCAGACTCTAACCCAGGACTTGAACCCCCAACCTTCCAGAGCCCGAAACACTGCTTCATAAAAGAACCGGGAAATCTGGTCTCAGAGGTGTGAACAAGGACTAAGTTATAGAAATGATAAGAGAGGCTTCATTAATATCTGCTTGTGTTCGCTACTTTTTGTTGCTTATTGTTCATCACTACAAGAGATTAGATAAATCAGATCCTTTCCCAGAAACCCAAGAAGAAGACCACACGATCCAGTACAGGATCAGACAATTATACGTACCTTCTGCCATCTGTAATACATAATTGTACAGAGCTAAAGTAATAATTATTCATGCCGTAATCAACAATATTCGCAAACTCCAATTGCAATTAAGCAAACAGACTTTGCATAGCAACATGACTAAGAAAACATGTTTTAGCATGTCCAGCCTATTTACATACCACTGTGGCAATTTTGAAAACAGTTAATAGGTGATAACACACCACTTCCATTCACCAAACCCCAATCTAATCCTTGTGTGTATAACATGGGTCAATAGGAAAAATGACCTCAAACGACCAGAAAGAAAAGTGTGATTGGCTGGACCTAAAGAGAGCGGAGGATCACAGGGGTGGAGGCTCTATGCATGAAGAGGTACTTTCACAGACAATTATGCCCACGGCCCTTTAAATCAAACAAATGACCAAATCAAAAAGGATCTCAGCGATTTAAGCGAAAGTAAGAAAAGCCCAGCAGTTTTCAACTGGGTGACTGATGCATGCAGCCTTTTGTAAGGCTGGAGGTGAGCCCGAGCTGCCTGATTGGCTGGCATGAGAATGCGTTTGCATTCCACGCTCTCATTCGTTGGGCAAACAAGCCAATCAGATCTTCCAGAAAAAGTTCTCTCCAACCCTCTAAATAAATACAGGAAAGGGCAATCTGGAATATTGGCTCTTCCAATTGTGTAAATACTCAGTATACAGAAGATTCTAGTTCAATGTAATAGTGATGGTCTCTGGCATTTTCTTTCAGATCAGAATATTATGCGCCTCGGCTTCCTATGAGCCTTTCTTGGCTCTTACCTGGGTAAGATATCTCCATGGCCAAGCTGCCCCTCCTTGCCTCTCCCCCAGCTCCACACCTCTGTGTGCAGGGAGGGCAGATAGCCATCAGCCTCCGTGTCCGAAGTCGGAGTCAGAGCCACCATTCGCACCCGGGATCGGCCTGCCTTCCTCAGCAGCCTGGGAGACACTATAAAACAGATAAAAAAAACTCTTCAAGCAGCCAGAAGATGCACTACTTTGAATACTTCTCCTCTGCATAAATGCTAAAGGAATTTTAAAGACACACAGCCACTGGCATGTTAATCACTTTCACCTGATATTATTTTACCAGGGACTTTTGTACAAATATATACCGTATAAATGCTTGCCCAGATGGACTTCCACGACGACGGCACCGAAATTTTTTGGCACGCCCTATCTTTAAATCCCTGCCCAAAAACGAAAACAGTACGTACAGTTATAATTCAAACTGAATTCAAAACTACACAGCCCAGTTACCATGGTGGTGCTTGTGATCATTGCGTTTAACCAATGAAACAGGGCAAAAAATCAGTCACATGACTTTGGGGCTTAGTTTCGAAAGCTTAACCAATCAGCAACAAAGCGAAATCTACACGATAAGCTACCTCCAACTGTCAGTGACACGACTGTGTATGTCGCTGAAGCCACTCCTATTTGGCATTTTAGTTATGGAGGCGGGAAGACGCCCCCCTCCCCCTCTCCCTCCCCCTGCCTCTGGGTGCCTGACTTGTCGCCATCTTTAAGTTAAAGGGCGGAAATTGGACCAGGACACCGAAGTAACACTCCTACTCATTTCTTTTTTGAGAGATGTCCTTGGAGAGTCCGGATCAGGAGAGTCAGGTTTTACATTTCATCCAAAGGATGGTGCCTTTTTTACAGTACAGGGTATCCATCTCTATACTGGGGTACCCACACAGACTGCCCCTTCACACCTGCCTATCTCCAGTGGGTTCCCAGTTGTGAGTTGCAGGGTGCTGGTACAGCTGGTACAGCTGCTGGCTTTGGTGTTTATTTATTCTAATTATAGGGTTTTCTAACATTTTCATTTCACTAAGTGTTATTTAATTTCTGTATAAAAGGAACAAGTTTCCTTTCTCTCTCTCTATCTCATGGACTGTTACTGCTATTACATTCTCTCTTTGGCTCTCTCTCTCACTCTGTGATCAGCACACACCCCTGCTAACCAGTAAAGGATAATGCACATTGGTGAGCTTGCAGTTCTGCACTCCTGTCCCTCCTTCCTCATGCACAGGGACAGCCTGGGAAAACAGTGCAGGGTCAACTGCAATATCATGAAGGATAATTCTCTGAATGTGTTCACACAATGGCTAAGAAAGGGGCACTTCAGACTCACATAAAACTCAGCTAATGTAAAGATTTGCAGAATGGAACACTTACATAACCCAGTAAGTGGGTGTATTTCAGAGATTCAATCATAATTAATTATAAAAACCAGGAGATATTTTTTTTTAACTGAAATTTAAAGGTCTACCATTATGCTCCAATAGTCTACATTCTAAATGAAAATTATTTCGTGAGGGAACCATCACACTGTCTGAAAGGTTATAGAGATATAAGATATAACACAGTATGCTTGAACAATGAACTTCTCAGCTCAGATCACACAGAAGGCTGATACTAGTGCTAGGTCAAAGCCTAGAGGAGCATTTTGCTCCATGAGGTCCAAAGCACACAGTCAGAAACAAAATGCATTCAAATTCAGCTATTCATTGGGTAGTCACTGTAAACAAAGTCTCCAACGCAGTCTCAGCCTCTGTGGCAGTTGCTTCACTAAAAATAACCCTGGACTACTGCTGAGACAATGCATCACAAGATGATAAACTGCAGATATTGATTATTCACAGGTCAATTAACTACTGGAGCAGGAACCCAGCAGATTTAATTCACTCGAGGAAGAGCAAAAGCAGATATGCAGAAATTAATGGTCTGCTGCTAAAAGTTCATGAACTCTGTTTTCAAGAGACTGGAAAACAGAACAAGGTAAGAGTTCAAGGGATGTCTTCCTATCAACCTTCCCATTATGCGATGAATAAGAAAAAAGCTGATCAATAGTTTTTCACTTGTGGCCGTGACTGCCTGAAGCATACAAAAATAACAGTAGATATACAGCGTTGTATAATGTTGCATTGTGACTGTTTCCACTTGTTTTCAGTTTTCTTTTGCAATCAAAAATTTCTATGGAAATAGTGCTAACAATTTCCATAGACTCTTCTAGTTTAGAGTCTATTTCTTCCTGCTTGATAATTCCTTAAAGTTAACTAATTCTGAAAAGATCGGAGACGAAAATCCCAGAATCTTCTTACAGAAGTATCACTTAGTACCCTCATAAAGCCAGTATCAATCATGACTTCCACAAAAGTAGATGCGCTGATCAATCACACCATAAAAAGATCTGACCACTGACTGAACATTGTCCCTACATTAATAACAAATTACAAACACTACATGATGGCTGCCTTCCATTAGGCAGATAAAAGAATGCTTCAGCAAACAGAAAACTGCCAATAAGTGACATATTTAGATGTTTAAGTGGCAGATGGTTCGATATTTTTAATTAATCTGGGAAATGGAGTGATTACAATGGTTAATGAACTGCAGAGTTACAGTGTAGCTAGTACTGCAGATGAATCTGGCTATACCTTAAAAATTAGAATTGTAATTACACGCTATACTTCACATTAATTAATGCTTTCTTTGCAAAACCATTTTTTCTGAATATCATTTCTTAAAACATACTTTGGGCATGATATAGTAAAACAGTCCTGTTCTCTGACCACTGAAATCAGTTACCAATTATAATATTGATCAATTCTGACAACTTCCAAGCATGTGCCATTGGCATGAAATACTATTGCAAAGGAAAGTGACACTGAGGTTATGGAATAAGTGTTATTTGCAAAGAAAGAAAGTAAACTTGACTTACATCTTTATGGATATGAAAACCATGGCACAAACAAATGCCACTGTTAAGAAATGTCATAGCAGAACAAGATAGTAGTGACGTTATGGAATAGTTGTAAAGAAACAATGTAAAAGAACTAGTCGTATCTTCAGCAGCATGATCACTGACTTCTGATTTCCTTGTTTTGGCTGCAACCAGAGAACCGTTTTGTAAGATTGTCTCCAGGATTTTGTACATCAGGTTTAAAGGTGAATAGTTTCTGATCTGCAGCAATTTGAAGCACATCCCATCTTTTGTAGGCACAAAAGCTTCGCGAACATTTCCAAACAATCTGCACGAAGGCCGAAATATTTGGCGCTCGACACCAGACCATTTTTCAACAAAGACAATTTGAAAATCTAGAATAGCGTGGCATCCTGGTTCAGAGAAAGGAAACGTCTTTATAATCACATTGTATTTACTCTAGGATGAGATATAATTCGAGTTTCCTATTCATTGGCTATGAACGGAAGTAACAATTTGTGATTGTTTTTGAACTAATGTGGTTTAAGACCAAAATGGCGACCCATCACAGTTTACACAGGAAATCCATTTTGCCATCTTTTCGTTGCACTGTTGTGGAAGGATACCTTCCAAATTGGGAGTTAGTGGTTTGCGATACAGGCCAAGTATCAGCCATAAGCCGATGACTCAGTGCAGACATAATAATACACCAGCAGCTTGCGAGATAAAAATCCAAAGCAGGTGGGAGTTGACTTGAAACCTGACAGATTTCAGCAGTCGCTGAAGTGAGAGGAAAAGCTGGAATGTTTTTTCCCCAACATGAGGCTCAGAGCACCAACTTGGTTGATGCAAAGCCACAGGTTTTGGCTCTTATCTATTGGCATGGTCCTGCACATTTAGAGCTGATCAGCTACAAGGTGCCCTCTCTCTGTGCCCGCTTGATTTTGGGAAGAAAACAAATCAAGAGAACTACAAGAACATAAGAAAGTTACAAATAAGAGGAGGCAATTTGGCCCATGTAGCCCTTTTGTGGTGAATAAGTAGCAGATGTGAAGGATTCCAGCCACAATGTCATTAAATACATTACTGCAGTAATGTCATGGAGGATATGCTATGAGATTTTCACTCTCAATCATAAAAAAAGAGTTTCCATCAGAAGTGTAATTCTAAAGTACATTCGTTCCAATTCAAAGTTTCCCACAGATGCTCGAACTTTATAGATAAGGTTGATTTCAAAAACAAAAACAGCAGACCCAACTTAACGTGGTAAATAGCTGCAGTGCCTTAACGTCCCAAAAAAATCTGCTCATCCCAGCATTCAAAGGCAAACAGCTTCAGTGTGCGTGGGACCATTTACACTCAGTGAAACAAAGAATGGGGATTTAAAACTCAACCTAACCCCCAAGACCTGTTCTCTTCCATAATTTATTCCCGCTGCACGAGCTGGCCACAATGAAGGAAGGGGGGTAAAGGCGTCACCTTGGGACAGCAGGCCAGGTAGGGACAGCCTGCGGCTCAGGCCTTCGGCCTCCTCCTCTCGGATGTCCCCCAGGCTGGAGCTCTTCTTGCCCTGCATCGACTCCTCAGACCGCATCTGCTCCTCCCTGGTCTCTTTGCTCCCCTCCAGCGGCGCCGCCAAGCTGCCCCCAGAGGGGTAATAGTAGTTCATCACCTTCTTCAGAGAGAGGGCCTCGTAGGTGGAAGCCACCCTCTCCCCCACAGCAGAGGCACAGGACACCACCAGGCTGTTGAGGGTGGAGCCCACGGTAGTCACGGGGGGCGCGGCCTCTAGGTCTGCAGGGCCATCCGAGAGCTGCCAGTCAGAGGACACGGGTTACAACGACGCAAAACTACAGCAGAGGCAAAGTCAGACACTTCCACACTCCTTCCATCATATTACACTAGGGTGCTCCACTTCTGGTGGCCTCTTTGCCCCTCCGAGAAGACAAAACTTGTCTCTGCCCTCATCAGCGAGAGTTTACCAAGACATTTTACGCTTCCGGTGCCTTGGCAAATTGTTTGCCTCCTTCCAGCGATGTCCCAAGTTGTAGAAATCCAAATGAGGTCCAAACTTTTTTTTTTTAAGTGTAGCTAGGTGGGTCCCTTTCTAGGCCATAAAGGCTCATGGGGAATGGGGTGCAAAGGCCACCATTTTTCTTGACCATCCGACACTGGAGGTGGAGGTGATGTGGTCAGCGTCACACTCAGGCCAGCCTATTACCCCCAGAAGGATTAACCCCCGGTACTCATTTGGAAAGCAGGCTGAGTGGAACTGGGAGCCATCTGGAAGGAATTACAGCAAGCTACATCATTTGCCCCTACCTGGGATTGAACCCGGGACCTTCCGGTCAGGAGTTAGATGCCCTTGCTGTCTGAGCTACCACGGCTCTTTTTAAGTGTAGTCACCCCCCAAAAAAAGCATTGTCAATTAAAAGCTGATATTCACCCTGAACACCCGAGGGAGAAAACAAGCTACAGTAAATGTGAGCAAAAATGGCAAAGCAAAATGATACAAGGAGTAAGTCCCTTTGCGAGGCCCTGTAAATTTGTCCCCTCTGGAGCGAGACAGGGACCACTACAACACCAAAGTTCAAACTGCTGCGCAATACGTTTAATGTTCTTCTTAAAAAACATATAATGCTAAACGGTTCCTTGAAGTCATATGGATCAATAATAATTCATCAGGTCATGACGGAAAATACGTCATGATTAAAGGTAGATGAACTGTACAGCTTAATAAACCTTCAAACAAAATACCTAACTCTAATTTTAATACCCTTTAAATTTCAATCTTATTTACAGCCCAAAAGCAGCAGCTCATCAAAATGACCGCCCTGGGCTGGCATACTGACCTGAGAGCTATTAACACTGGGGTCCTGGGAGGCTTGTTGTGTCACGGAGTGGTCAGACAGCCGTTTCAAGTACTCCTCGAATGCCTGATCATTGGGGTACGGGGAATTCCTCGCCCACAAGCCCGCCTTCTTATCTGCTTCTTCTGAGGAGTGTTCCTCTTTAGAGGGTTCAGTCTGCGGTTTGGTCTCCGCCGCTTGAAGTCCTTCATCGGCTTCAGAGTCTTGCTGACTTGGCGTTTCTTCTGGAGAGTTCTGGGAGAGGGGGGGAGGAAGAGGGCCGTACAGGGCAGGTTCTGAAGGCGACTTCCTCAGCTGCTGCGTGGGAGAGGCCTGCCTGCCCTCCCCATCCGCCAGCTCCACTCCCAGAGGGCAGTAGTGGCTGTCCGAGATGATGACGTGGTCCTCCTTGTCCGTCATGGTGATGAGGAGCTGGTTGCAGTTTTTGCATTTGTCCGGGGGGGGGCGGGCCTCCTGGGGTGGGGGGCAGCGGACGAGGGCCAGGCTGTGGAACGCCCCGCACGCCACCTGCAGCACGTGCCGCCCGGCCAGGTGCTCCACCTTCTGGGGCCTGCAGACCGGGAAGACGCTGGTGACCAGGCCTAGCTGGCACCCGCTGCCCCAGGCCCACACCTCCCGGTGGGCCGACAGGGCCAGTGTGTGCTGCTCCCCGCACGCCAGCTCGGCGATCCGGATGAGCTGCGGGGGGCTGGTGTCGGGGTCGGCGATGGGAACCGCCGTCGGCTCGGGGACTGGGCTTCTGCTGGCCACGCCACACTGGCCGGAAGAGTTCTCTCCCCACATGTACACGGCGCCCTGCTCGGAGACCGCCCCGCTATGGAAGCTCCCGGCTGCCACAGAGACAATTTTCTGGCCTGACAGGGCCTGCTCCAGCATGGGGACTGCCCTGTCAGCGGCCGAGCCTGGTTTCCAAGACAGCTCCCCAAAACTGTACACCTCGCCACCTGAGGAGCACATAATAAAGACATCAATCACGGCTGGAGGAATGTATTAAACCAACAGTTTACGAATAACAACCTTCTTTATCGTGTGGAGCTGCTCTTTGGCTCAAGTAAAGAGTGTGGATCTCAAAGATAAGTTCAAGTTCACATTTATTCGTCATTCCAGCCATATACAAGCACACAGTGGAACGAAATATCGTTCCTCCTGGCCCATGGCACAAATACAGGCAGGACAGACAGGACACTGTAGACAGGATACACATAGTGCAAAGGGCAGATAATGCAAATCACAAGGCAATCCGTAATACAATTTACACAACACACTGGGGGGGATTTAAACCCTGTTTCTTGAATTGGGGTGGGTGTGAGTAGACTCCAGGGTGTTGAGGAGCCTGACAGCCTGTGGGAAGAAGCTGCTACAGAGTCTGGTAGAGCTAGCCCGTACACTGCGATATCTTTTCCCAGATGGCAAGAGGGCAAAGAGTTTATGGGAGGGGTCATCTACTATACTGGAGGCCATGGGTAAGAAGGGTTTGTGATAGGTGACAGAAATGGAAGGCTCCAATGATCTTTTCAGCTGTTTCCACAATTCGTTGCAGGGTCTTGCGCTCTGAAGCGCTGCAATTCCCCAACCAAGCAGTGACACGGCCGGTCAAGTTGCTCGCGGTGGTGCTTCTATAGAAAGAAATGCTCTTAAAGAGCGCGTACAGGGTGATTATCGGGGCCTGACTGACATCACGTTAAATTGACAAGTGATCAGTGGTTTCGACAACCCCCTGCTGTGGACGGGCCTCACCTTCGGCCAGCAGTACGCCATGGCGTGTGCCCAGGGCAGCCTGCAGGACAGGCTTGGACAGAAGGATTCTGTGAGGCGTGAGCCCACAGGAGTAGCCCTTCCAGGTATGGAGCAAACCTCTCTCCCCGGGGTCTTCCTCCTCCCTAGATCAGAAAAAAACAAAACGTGATGTTGAGAAAAGAAAAAAAAACAGCATAAAGAATAACAGCAGTGATCACCATCTAATGCATTAAAATGTGCTGTTAGAAGGGTAAAACATTTGAGAAGCTCTTACTCTGATCCTAATGCACATTGAACCCCCGCAAGAATACATATGATTTGACAGAAGCTGCAGGGGGGAATTCAAATACAGATGTTGACGAGCCTTACAGGATTTTTTTAGAACTAAATTTGCCTCTCTGTGCATGAGGATAAAACTCACAACTTGTTTTGACAACTGCTTGATTTCAATATATTTTTTTCGCAAAACATTTGCTAGAAAAACCATGTCTCCTTGAAATATTTGGTTTGGAAACATTAAACACTTACACTGTCAAAAAAAATTGGTGACAGCTGCATATGACCCCTTTAATTAACAAATCTGATTGCTTTAATGGGGATTAATAACTTTTTAGTCATATTTTGCCTGTAACTCTTTTAGAGCTCTTGTATATAATTGCATGTCCTTAGCGATGGTATTGCTACCTTGTCATTTTGTAATTCTACTATAGGAATAATAAAAAAAGAGGCATTGCATATTTTAAGTATATAACTGAAACAAAGGCAACGCTAAGAAATAAAGCAATGACGCATTTGCGTAACGTTAAAATACCAGATATTCTGTGTTTATCACCTTGGTAGCGTTCTACTCACCTCTTTTCCTGCTGGTCCATTATAATGGTCTCTCCATGTCAATACCACTGCAGGTCAGTTCTCGGCATCAGCTCTGTGCAGAGCAGGACAGGCTGTTAGTTGATGTACTCTGGCAACCTGTTACAGTAATAGTTGGAGCAGGCTGCTATAAAACAGAAAGCAAACTAATAATTAATGTCTACTGAGTGCTCGTGTCATGTACACTGTTACCGCATTTGTCTATCACACAAAGCCACCACACGGTTCTCCCTATCCTTACGAGATACAGTATACAAGACTGGACAAGGTCACTCGTACAAATCATTTCTCCAGCTAAAGACACTGACAGCAACTCCCCTTGTGCCATGTTTAAAGTGAGTGTAACAGACCCAGCTTTCTCTGTAAGCCAATTTAACCATTATTTTGGTTACTATAGTATTAAGTACTAGTATTTATAGACACAGAAATGACTATGCATTCTAAAAATGACCAGCTTCTAAAAGTCCCACTGCAGCACAGAAAATCATTATCCAATCATTAGTTTTACATTCAGACCAGATGAATGGACGATTTAATCAGTACTAAACTGTAGAACAGTCACAGACAATTCTCCAATTAATTTATTGCAAATGTGCACATTGAAGAAGCTGAATGTCAAAATGTCTTATATTCAAAGACAGAATCTATTCGTCTCAAACAGAGGAGACTGCAAGCAGACTCAGTACAGGTATGTCAATTCTTGAAAGGTACTGCCCAAATCAACCATGATTTCTGCTTTTAAAAAAGCACACAGGAGTACAACAACTAAGGAGGAATACATTATATACATTCAACATATATTCCCCAGAGTTTTGTAGCAAACTAATGAGCAAAATAGGCTGACTAGACTCCTCTCATTTACAATCTTTATTTTGTCTATATATTCAAGATGTAATGTTATGCAAATATACCATGGACAAAAGAATTACAATGTATGAACACAAATTTGCTGTTTCTGTGATTTCAAATAATTATCTATTTTTCCTAGTTTCTGGACTATGGGAGGAAACCAAACACAAGGAGAACATCCTAACACCTTGCATACAGCACCCCAGGTCTGGAACTGAACCCAAGGCTCCAGTGCTGTGAAGCAGCAATGCTGAAAACATTGTGCCACCCCTCAGATAATTATCTCATATATAATTAGTGACAAACAGGCCCTTCAGAACTTTGGCCTAGCACCCATAATGAAAGTCAATGACTTTAACACTGAAGCACTGATGAAATACTGTACTTTGCCAAGTAACATGTACAGTGCAGTCTATAAGTATTTGAACAGTGACAGAATTTTTGTTGTGTTGGCTCTGTTCTCCAGCACACTGGATTTGAAATGAAACAATGACTATGAGGTTAAAGTGCAGAATGTCAGCTTTAATTCGAGGGTATTTACGTCTATATTGGGTGAACCATATCAGAATCACAGCCCTCTTTATACATCGTCCTCCCATTTTAGGGGATCAAAAGTAATTAAAAGTTAACTCATAGTCATTGTTCCATTTCAAATCCAATGTGCTGGAGTGTATTACGGACTGCACTGTATGTATTAAACAGCCTTTACCACTTTTCTGTCAACTTCCATTATTTCAAAGATATAGAAGCTCTTAAAGGCATTTGGCCACTTAAAAGATTTTGACTAACGTCTAAAAAGATCAAGGGTAAGGAAGTAAATGGTATTTGATGTTTTTTTAAACAAAAACTGATAAGAACATTATTCAATATTTTTGTCAATGCCACTAGTATTTGACTGTCCTAATCTAACATTGTAAGCCTTATATCGAGAAAACTTTGGAGTCTTATTTTCCACTATAGGTGAAAAATAAATTATTACTGAGAGGGCATACTGGCACTGTCTCAAAGGGTTTCTCAGAATTTGGCAGGAACAGGCCTACATGCCTCATCATCATCTGGGCAATTTATTTATGTACATTTACTCTTGAGCTCTGTCTTTTGAGAGATAATAAGGATTAAACCAATAAAACATCCAGTTATAGCTTATTAAATAAGATTTGTTTACATCCACAACAACCTTATAATTTCACTTTCAATGATATGATTAAATTATTCCAGCATATAATTCTTGGAGCAAACTTAGTCCATAGTTTCTATATGATACCACTAATTTTCCAGGCTTCCTCGGTTAGAAATCCCACAGCACTGTAAGCAGAATATTTATATTTATTATTAACATTCATTAACTTGGATACCTTCATCCTTTATGGCATACATTCAAAACAATGGCTGTACTATAAAAATGTACAGTGCAAAATTGGCACAGATTAGCGTTGAATTTTAATTAGAAATGCAACACGATACAATTAGCAGCACATTGTCTCCAGAACCTGTGATAACCAAAATAAACGTGAAATCCATTTTCACACCTGCTAAGGCTGTTAGCTGCGTTTGTTACGCTTTGAAGGAAAAAAATCAAATTGTAAAAAAAACTAAGAACTTCACAAGCTGAACAGAGGCAACTGCAAATCATGCAAGAACTGTAGCGAGTTACACAACATGCAAGCCAAAGTAAAGACATAGGTTAATGGGAAAAACCCTTAGAAGAAGCTAGTTGTTTAAAGGCATCAGCTGAATTAAGAAAACTTAATGTGTTCATGTACTTTTGCAAATACACATCCCAATATCTCCCATGCCAACACCCAACCTGCTGGAGAAACCAGCATAAGCCTTATCAGTCACCTTTGATCATGGAACTCAATTACGATGATGGGGTTTTCCAGAACCGTCTTGAAACTTGAAACTCACACCTTTGTTTGACTGTTTTTTTTCCCTGTGCATATACTTACTACTCACTGCAAAAGAGTCGGTTACAATGACGCACTCAAATGAAAATATCAGGAATATACAGTATAGTATAGACTGCTTTTAAAAAAAAAAATTGGTGTGGATGATGCAGCTGTTTTTAACCCATTTTCTAATGAAACTTAGGACTCACAGCAACATGAGTGAGGACTGATTGATGATTAATGGAACACGTCTCGAACAAAAGGCAATAATATACTACATATGATCTCTATGGGGTTTAGATTAAGATGAAAACCTAAAAAGTTCATTTCCAATCACATGTATTCTAATAATCAATAAGCACAGTAAGGCAATAAATTAGCTTAACTAGAGATCCTCCCAAGGGATTCACAATCCCTCCAGAAAAACAAGAAAGCCAGAAGAGATGTGATCAAACTCCATTTATTTATAACAAATATGCATTGTAATCTCCAATTTTAGATGTCTACTGTAACTTCATCTTATTATACTTCCAGGTTTTTTTTTTTGCTCTCAGCTACAATCACTGCTCTTTTTCCAATACTAGGGCGTCTGATCTTACCGGTAAGGATTCCTATAGAGAGAGACATCTGCTAAGCAAACAAGTAATGAAGAATAGGAAATAATCACAGGATGAGTACGCTGAAGATAGCCACTTCAGAAGTACAACTGAAATAGGCCACAGTACACATGGGATTGCTGTATAAATACCTGGCTACCTATCTAAATGATTCTTATTTATCATGTTTAGAAACTGAAATGAAATCCCTGCAAAGGAACAGCAGCTATTGTATGTGCTCTTTACATGAGTTGGTTTCCACTGCAGGGGTGTTCTGAAATACACTCTTTTCCTGGCGCCTGGACCCACAGTGCCGATGAACCTGTCTGTTTTTCTCCGGCAGCCATCTTAGATTGTTTTTGTTTGACTACTTTCAGCTGACTCACCCTGCCTAATTGAAAAGATAGGCTAAAGGGTCCTGTATATCACCGAACACTGCATTAAAATTTCATGTTTAGGCTTTCTGTAAGGATTCTGACTTGAGCCCTGAAAAAATGAGTTCTCCAGGATTCTTACACCGCCTTAAGACACAACAAATCAAGTTGATGATGTTGGTTTACCACGTTTCCTACTGAATACAGGACTTACAATCGACAACAGCACTGAACACATTTGTTTTGCTAACAAAGAAGTCTAATTTCCTCAAGATCATCTTAAACATAAGCTGCTTCATTTTATACTAGAGCTGTGATCAAGATTTCAATTTGTGGATTTAGGATTGGAATATACACTGTAGCACGTTCCGTAAGTGTTAATTGCAGTTCATAGTGCGGATATTTTTCAGATATTGAGAAAACCTGGACTTCTCAAGCATACAACACCAAATCACTATAATTTTTAGATTATTCGGAAAACACACAGCCCCACTTTTAAATACACAAGGAGTTCGTAATGGCGTAATACATTTTAATGTATTTTTTTTTTGGAGGGGGACATGATTTTCACAAAACTAAATGCAAAAGCACTAATGAAGAACCCCAACATGTCTTGCACTGTAGAAGTTGCTGTGGTGGAGGCACTAATGGAGTCGGCAGCTCCTATGATTATCCAAAATCTGCTTGTTCCAAGAGGGTTAGGAAACCACCCTGAAACCAATTACAGACATACTGTGTGCAAAATGGGAATGATAGTACAAGACCACTCTTGCCCTAAAGAGCAGACATTGGAAATGGACAGCGTGCCATTCCAACAGACACACTGACACTGGAGAATTCTTGCATGACTGCATCACACCCTATAGGCAGCTCCCAATAGGTAAAATTGATCGAAAAGAACTGAAATAGACATGGACTAAGGCTAGGCCCATCTACATAGGACAGCCTCTTCTACCTACCCTCAGTAAAACACTTCCCAAAAAACAACACCAAGCTAGGATTGTTCACAAGCAAGCAGCAGAAGTTGTGGCGTTCAGTGATGGACGGATTGTTTGTATTGGACCTAACATATCCTTTATTGCTGAGTGTGGTGAGGTCTGTGCTTTGAACTACTGTACGCTCACTTAATAACGTTTATTCATCTGGTTCAGGCGAAAGGGTCTCTTGAGTGGGTGGCAGGCGCGTGCTTCTGAGCTCCAGACAAAAGAGTTCACTTTCACTGAGACCCTGCTTGTCTTCTGCTGAATGAGAGCAATGTGGCAACTTACTGCCCATTTTACACTGTTCTATACTGCAACTGGATAAACGGTTGTTGAGATTTGCTTGACATTATACCTTTCATGAATAGCACACTGTTCCTTAGTGCCCCTGCTTTGTACAAGTTCCTATTTGTGTTGAAGGTTGTTCGGAAATAGCATAGGGAACCTACACAGTCTTCCAATAACCCACAATTCTGACAAAGAAACTGGAATAAGACTTGTTCTATACAAGAGAAACCCCTCTTGTTCTCTTTTGTAGTATGCTTGCTTACAATTAAGTGTCTACAAAGTGTCTATGGGAAGTTGTAAAGTGGTACATTCTGCGCAGCAAATACAGTGCTTGTTATTCCTGACCCAAAACAGCTGATATCCTGCACTAAAAATACAAAAAAGATATAAAAACGTACATATGCATGAACATAATTTCAGTCCGTCCGATCCTCCCTTACAGTTATTATTAAAGTTAGAACTGACACACTAAAAGTGTTTTGGTTATATAGTAAGAATCATGCCTATTGCTTATAACTTAAAATTCGGAGATGACACAGTAAACTTCTCAGGATGCCATTCCTCGAGTCTTAGCCTCAGTGAAATCTCACCTTTCACACACACTGTTCACTACGTCTGCTTTACCTAAAGGCAAAGTATAAATATGTGTATTGGCTGCTGCTACTATTTATATTTTAAAAATGTAGCCTGATGTTTTAGCATAGATAGGCTTGTTAAGCAAGTTTCAACATCTGAACTCCTTACCTTTAATATGAATGTTGGGAGACCATGATCTGTATTTTAAACACTGTGTGCAGCAATCTCTGCTGACCTTGTTCCTTCAAAAACAAGTGTATCATGCACAATGCTGTCACAAAATTGAAGAATATGCACATATCCTTATGCAACATATATGCAATATTTGAAATAGTAACAACATCAGTGATAACGTTGTGAAGGCACAGTAACACGTTTTAAACGTCTGTTTTTGTACTACAAACTGAGTAAAAAAACGACTGGGTAAGAAAGAGATACAGTAAATGCCCAAGACTAAAAGAAACAGTAGTTTTTAGAGAGAAGAAAAAAGATTTTGAAATATTTTAATTATATTCAGTCTTTACTAGTCTATGGTCTATTACAGAAAACAGCCTATAGGGAAAAACGCGTTAGAATGCATCCATATAAATACGCTTTGGAAATCAATACTTCAAAACCCACATCCAGGGACCCCAGGCAGTGGTACTGTATATACCAACTCCCCCTCATGAAATCTGAACTTTCTAACTCAAAGCCCTATCATGCACAGGCAAAATAAAGCGGACAACCCGGACAGCACATACAGTAGTTGTCATTGGCCTGGTATCAATGACAGGACGTACTGGTATAACTTAATCCCTAATCAAAATTGACTTATTGGCTAGTTTTAAGACAGAGTCAATTCGTGTTAAGCATCCAAGTGAAAAACGTCTTTAGTAATTATAACTCAGAGCTAATTTGAGTATCAGGTTAAATCTGATGTGCAGGTAGAGCAACGCAAATCATACAGTACATCTTACATTACATATACACGGTTGCACGGTTTTGTATCCTCACCAGCGTGACAGCTTGTTTGATAACCGACGCTAATGGAGATCCCTTAACTTCGTGTTTGTTTCACCCAGAATTTCACGAAAAGGCAGGTTTTTTTTTATTACAAAATACTTCCATGTTCAGAACATGACATCTTACTTACAAAGAGGGGTTACATTGATGCGTCCCGTGTCATTCCTGCTCCAGGTAAACAGATTGGTCCTGGGTTCTTCCAAATTACTCTTTCAAGTAAAGCTGATTTCAAAGACTACCGAAAGTGAAGCTGGTCACAGCCGATATTGCAATGCAATTCTGAGAAATAGCGAAGAGGTTAAGCAAACAAGACTGGTTTCAGATGTAGCCGATGCAACAACGGAAAGCACAAAGGTTCAAACTGCACGCGTCCGATTAGCCTTTTTTTAAACGACTTTTTCAATTTCGAGTCCAAGCAATGTCTCTGCCATTTCAGAAATACCTTTAGAGCGCGCATCAAAAAGCTGGGGAATTTTCTTCCGTAAGAATGTAGCGCCTTTACAGAGTCCATGCTCATCTTTCATTGCTTGAAAATCTGGTTCACGACAGCACATTGCGTGATTTCTATCCCGTTCATAATAGAAATGAAAAATCTACCTACTAGGAAAAAGTTTAAAAGAACCCCTTACTGCCTCTGAAATCTTTTCCAACTGACCTCCTAATATCTCTGTCTTCTATGCCGTTCTATTCAATTACCAAAACTTTTTTTTAATCTTAAAGGCTTAAAAGGAACTGCTGTAGGGGTGAAGTTGGGGGACGAGTGAGGGGCGTTTGAAAAGATGTGCGCAGAGCTGTAGGGGTCCAGCGTGCTTTTTATATGTACTGTGTTTTGTGTACAGTATGTATTGTGTTTTGCCGTTGGTTCTGAAAAAGCACATTGGGTCGACCTTGTCAATGTTAATGTCAGATGCCCTCTAAGGTTTCTCTGCTCATGACCAAAAAAATGGTTCTGTCAGCACTGGACATTGCTTTTAACATTAGATTTTATCTGGCTGTTCTTTCCTGGACTGATTCTAGAAATTTCTGTTCTAAATGGCCAAGGATTGCGGCAGCTAGGTTAATCTGATATTTGGACAATAGTTTCTAAGGAGATATTGTTTTATTCTTCACATGTGCACAAACCAAATCATTTCACATCAGGAATAACTTTAGTACTATTTCTGTGATCTCTTTCCAGGACAAGAATAGCCATTCTGTATCATGTGAACCAATACTGAGCACATTTTCTAAGAGGATAGCAGATGCTCCTAGTCTTGTTCTGTCTTAAATCTTTCAATATACTGTGTATGTTAGATAAAGCATACAGTAAATAGTAGTTAATTCCACATTGAAAAGTACAAAGAAAAAGTAAAATACACAGAGTTTCAGCTGTGGATTATTCTTTGTGTGTAAATTACACATTGGTATTTTTGGAGCTGTTGTAGTAAACAATGTTTACTACATTGTGATTAAATTACTCTCTAAACAGCTGAAGAAGGACCATTGTCTGAAATGTCCTGAAACAAATTCCTGTATAGACAGATAATGCACTTCAAAGGAAAAGAATAGCACAAGTAAAATGTTTCATATTGTCTATGAAGAAAGATCTTTAATGATCTCAAAAATAAAATGCAAGTTTACAACTGAAACCACTATTAAGAACATTTCAATTCAAAGTTGATTGCGAATAAATGTGTCACCAAAGAAAGATATTTCACATGCACATGTAAGAACTCAGACACTTAAGAGAAAAGGGCCACATCATAATAGGAGCAGGAACTAGCCAGATGATTCAACAGTTTAAGAAATGAAATACAACATATTCTAATTTACAGTATGTCCAATGTATCAAACTATAAAGCAGCTAGATCATCAAAAGGCAGAAACAGGCATGAGAGCCCATGTAAAGCAATCCTGAAATAAGATAATACAGTAATTGTTTTGTGGGTTAACAGACCCTGATTTTCCCTTATTTTGGATCAATGTTAATTTACTCGAGCTGTGGCAGGTCAGTCCTTGGGGAGACTTAACCTTCCACTAGAGGTGGCATTTTATAAATAAACACACCAGGTGGTAACTAGTTAATTAATGAGATTATTGGCAGTGGCGCTAGCATGGCTTAATTATTGGAATATTTGGGTTTTAAAAGGCCTTATGGCAGTGGAGTCTTTCTGGTGGAAAGAATGGCAAAATCTGCAAAAATGCCTTGTCCAGTATTACTACAGTGATTTTTGTAATGTGTTTAGATCCCAGGAAAGAAAAACTTGGGCAGAGATTAAAACAAAATCCTTCTTGGAATGGTCTAGATGAAAAAGGAGTCATTGTTTTTCTTATGGTGACAATGATCCCAAGTCACTTCAAACCACTATACTATTTCAAACATTTGCATCATGTGATTGTAAATATATTCCTAGGATTTAGCAGCTCAAATAAATAGTGGGGCCAGTAATCTTTGTTGTGTTTTTAACATCTCAAATATGTAGTGGATACTGCAATGTGGAACGTGAACCATCTTATTTGAAAACAGGCCTGTCGTTTCGAACATTGAATATTTGAATACTTTTTCGGGCAACGAAAAAAGAGGCAGTATCACATCTCAAAGCGTTCTTGCAAATTGCTCTCAAGTTACTCTGCAAATTCGGAATAATCTGTAAACTATGGCTTATTAGCCAGGTTTGCTGTTTCCTTCAACACAATACTAACAAGTACACGCTATCGTACCTCTTGGGGGCCACCTTTTCCACAGCATTGTGAGGAGAAGTCATACAGTAGTTTACCATTACTTCACAGTCCTCAGGAATATTTGAAAATACCATCTGCTGGCCCATCCTCACTATTGTGGGCCTCCTTTACAGAATATCCAACCATCCTTTTTATAACCATTTTCTCCAAAAACAGGGTTGTGGGTTGGTAAGCATCGGGCACAAGGCAGGGTACACCCTGGATGGGATGCCAGTCCATCACAGGGCTTGGACAGATACAGACACATACACATTAATTCCAGGTCCAGTTTTCTCAGAAGCCAATTAACCTACCAGTATGTCTTTGGTCTATGGGAGGAAATGCACACAGGGGGAGTGACTGTACACAGACAGCACCCAAGGAATTGAATCCAGGGCCCCAGCACTGTAAGGCAGCAATACTAACATCTTTTATTTTTAATTATAGCATCAAACATTCTCTATTTTATAGATAAACAAAGACATGGAAAGTCATTAACCAGCATCTACCCTTAAGATCAAAGATGTTTATTCAGTGCCAGTACAGGAGTCGTTTCTGAGTCCTGAGACTGAAACTACAGTGGGAAAAGCAGGGTTTGAAATAGAATCCTGGACCTGGGTGGGATCAAAAGGTATATGGGAATCCTAGACTTAGAAATTATCATGACTTGTAGTGGACATTTCTGTCCCATACTCTTATAATACTGTACTTTTAATTGCATGGCTACAGCCACAACCCTCACCAAGACATTAATAATGCAACTACACTAATATAACCTTCTACCATATTAGGCTGTTTCATTTTGTCAGTGTGTAACCTTGCATAAATAGAAGCTATATGCTTGCATATATGCTATATGCTTGCAGTTCAGGTGTATTACTGTATATTATAGCATTATAATACATCAATATGAAAGGAATTAGAGTCACTATTACAAATAATAATACACCATCAGGAGTGAACAATAAAAGCTGGGTGACAGGGCTAACTCTATTTTTCAATGCAGCTTTTAAATGTAACATTTCAATTCTGTGAATAAAGCAGTTAGGACAACCAGTATTTGTGAAGTAGCAGAGGTCATGCTCGATCTGCTTAGTTGGTGTATAATGTTTGTATTCAACAGTGTCCACAGAACAAAGGACATGCTAGGACTATCCATGGTCACCCAAACTTACCGCAGTTATGATTATTTTCCAAGCTTAAGAATTTTGTGCTGGCTCGTCTAATACAGTAATACAATACAAAAAGTTTAAATTTTACAAATACAGCAGGTAAGTGACAAAATTAGAAAATTGGAAGGAAACGTATCTGCATGACTTTCTCTTGTATATTTCTACAAATATGTATTTCTTGTTAGCATTGGATGCAATATCTGTGGTGCTATCTGTTTGGAGTTTGTATATTCTTCCCCGTGTTTGTGTGGGTGTCCTGTGGGTGATCTCGTTCCTCCTATAGTCCAAAAACACACTGGTTGATTAATGGGCTTCTGGGAAACTGCCCCTGGTCTGGGTGTGTGTGTCTGTGTGTACCCTGAAACAGACTGGCGTCCCATCCAAAGTGTTTCTTGTCTTGAGCCCATTACTTGTGTGAATAGCTTTGATGTGCAAATATGATGAAGTGACTGTTGGCAGGAATAGTGAACAAATGATCAGTACTACACAATTACCGAATGTAGTCATTAAGCATCAATATTAATCTCACCAGGGGGTAATTCCTAACTTCCTCATTGATATGTTCGGTTTAAAAAAACATTCCTTATTTCAAATGTTGTTGGTCTCCTAAAATACTAAGCTGTTTACATGATTATAATGATAAAAAAGAGCATTATCGATACATGATTGCGTGTTAAATTGTTTCAGTAAAACACCCAGGTGTGTCAAGATATGTTAATCTGGATAAATGTGTCCTTCAACAATAATTATGGATTTTTAGATAGACAGTTTTCAATTATCAAATGAGTTCTGTATTGAAAGGTTTTAAAAATGCTTGTTGCTGCTGGTTTCTACAGTAGATTCATTTTTTGCCTTTTTTTCAGGTGTCATTTTCAAGCTATGTTCCATTTTTAGTATTAATATGTTTTTGGCCATAAAACAAATCCTCCATTATGTTTTGAAGCAAGTCACCAAAACAATCTCATGCTATGTTTATTGAATTATATTTCATCAAAATACAGCTACTGTAGGCACACAGCTCCCCTCCTGTCCAACCTCCAGCCCCCCCCCCAGTATACTAACTGTGCACATTTTGTTTCATGTGGACTGTTCATTTCAAAATAAGACAGCATCTCCTAAATACTTGTGCTGATTGGATTTCTGCTCTGTACCCAACAGCAGTACTGTGCAGCTTCGTCACACGCGCGGATGAGGATATTGCCTGGGTTTCTACAGACCTGCTCCTGAACGAAGCAAAAAAAAAAAACTCAACAATTTGTATAGCTGCTGTCTCAGTAGAAGGAACAAATGATTATCCTGCAGGCGTGAATAATATGTGGCGAACAGAGAAAGAGCTGATTGTGCCAAGAGAGAAGTAACTGCCAGAGCTACAGAATGCAGAACCTGAGACATGCAGCAACAGAGGCATTTAACCGCTTAGGTGAGCACAATTTCCTACCTTATTAATGCTAATCAGT